TTGCCTAACAACCCCCTTCCCCCCTCCCTCATTGCCTACTCACCTCCTTCCCCCCTCTTTGCCTACCACCCCTCTCTCATTCCTTACCACCCCTTTCCCTGCTCTCTCATTCCTTACCACCCCTTTCCCTACTCCCTCATTGCCCACCACCCCTCTTCCTCACTGCCTACCACCTCCCTCACTCCCTTTTCCCTTTATTTAACATTGAAAGTAGTACTGTAAATTTATGTAGTTATATTCAATAAAATGCACCTTCCTCTTCTGAATCCTACAGATAAATCTACTAAGTAAATATGTACTGTACCAATATCTTATAGTTGAAAAATATAGTTCAAAATTATATGAAATATATATCTTGGTAATATATTCTGATTCAAGGTTCTGAATATATAAAGTTTAAAGATATATCTTGGTAATATATCCTGGTTCAAGATCTAGTCAAAAGATATATCCTGGTTCAGGATATAGTTTCAAAATATATCTTGGTTCAGAATGTAGTGGGAAAATGCAAGATATAGTTGAAAAATAATGTCTCTTCATTCAGGATGTAGTTTCAAAATATATCTTGGTTCAGGATATTGTTGATAAATATATTCTGGTTCAGGATATAATTAAAATGTTTATGATATAGCTGAGAAATAATGTATCTGGACTCAGGATATAGCTGAAAAGTATATCTTGGTTCCTGATTTAGTCAAAAGATATATGTTGGTTCAAGATATAGCTGTAAAATATATTCTTCAGCAATGGATATATCCCAAATATATATGTTGCAGTAGTATTCATTCTGATGATTGAATATATACTCTCAAAATATGTACCTTCCAAGAAATATACATTCTCAGAATGCATACTTGATGGAGTTATTTGGAGTGGGATGTTGATTTGGTGTGGCATATTTCTGTGTTACACTTAAAACCACACACATCAGTTGAATAACAGCAAGCATAAAGGGAATCATGGAAAATACAAAGAACCCCATATTACAACATGGTGAACAGAAATTGTTAGAGGACAATAATTTGTTGTCCATAAATTTACAATGAGAGTGAAAAGAAAAAGAGAGGGAGGGGGGAGAGGAAGAGAGGAAGAGGGGAATTGAGGAGGAGAAAGAGAGAAACAACAGAACTTTGTGAACTATGAGCAGCTAAAAAAATCTGTAACTTAGATGTGACTGGCTCGGCAACTTGAATGTACAGAAGCATGCTGTCCCCATGTAGGTGGTGTGATATGATGTACTGTGGAGTGAAGACAACAGCTCATGTTTGACAAGTAGGTAAGGTTGATGGGTATTAAGGTTGATGGGTATTTCAAGAGATGGTTCTCGCTAACGAAGAAATGTGGACACGAGAGAGTGCTGGCAAAAGATTGACTCATGTAAGCAACATGATGTAGAAGTGGAGATGGGGCTGAGGAGAATCACACAAACAAATCATCATCCTTGTTTGTGAAAGTGGGTTGGGAGAGGTGTTTGATATTACATGTGGGGGTTTAACTAGCAGGGGATGGTAATACAGATGTTGGTGGGGTATGCAGATATGATGCTACTGGGGATCTTGGAGCTGAAGTGAGCAGTGCCAAACACCTATATGAAATGTAAACAAAGAGATATCTTGTGGACACAATATTTCACATATAGATTTAACAGCTTGGTCTGGCATAGGTGCCAGGTGGTGAAAACACATTGAATCATACAGAAATGGCAGAGTAGACTTGCCAACCAAGCTGAGTATGCAGATAAGGTGCAACTGAAGAGAAAAGAAGAGAAAGATGAAAGAACTCTGTCAACTTGATGGTAATACAGATGTAGGTGGGGTATGCAGATAAGGTGCAACTGGAGAGAGAAGAAGAGAAAGATCAAAGAACTTTGTCAACTCAATGCTACCTAGATACTGGAAGCACAAGCCAGACATAGTGCCAAAACCTCTGGAAATCATTGCAGAATCTTCCAGAATATATACCCCAGACAGCAAAAAAATCACAAGTTTTTTGCTGAAACTAGGACCCCTGACACCCCTACAGACCAGAAAAATATATCCTTACCACATCTGTTTCACAAAATATATCCTAAGGCCAAGCCAGGGCAAAAATATATTTCTAAGGTGTGACAGTGACATTTCAGGGTCCACTCACCAAAAATATATCCTTACTGCATTTTACTTGCAAAATATATTTTGGTGGTGTGACACAGACATTATAATTTTTGTGTGACATTTCAGGGTCCATGTGTTAAGAATATATTTTGGATTTCAGGGCTTTCTAGGACCCAGATATATATAGAATATAAATGTGGTCCATGACATTTAGTCATGTAACTTATGTGGAGTTTGCATGACTAATAGTCAGTTGGCACTGGGTGACTGAAGTGACCTCAGTCACTTTCTACTTATCTCAGAAGCCACTGTTCTATGTCTGACTAGCCATCCTTGACAATGATTTCTTGGATGGACATAAATTCTCTGTCATACAGGTGCAACCTATCCTACTTGTCACTTTCTAAATCTTCTTATCACACTCAGCCTCAATAAGATTCATGCAAGGGTACCAAGAGTTGATGATTGGGACAGCTTCATCCTCTCTCTTGGCAGGATTCTGGTGAAGGACAACTCTGAATTTGGTTGATCTTTTCTAACATGACCTGACTTTGGTGTTGAAGGTTGTAAAACCTTCAAGGACCAATCAACTTATCATGCATGCAGTACTGTAGCCAAGGCATTAATATGAAAGACAACATCTGGTATGGTACCAAAACCAATTATGCAGCAATGGCGAAATGTCAACACTTCTCAGTCCTTCAACCATATCCACATGGAAGGACACTACAAACTATATGTCAGAAAAGCAGACCACAAACTTTTGTAACTACAAAAAGCAGATGCTACAAACTTTTGTAGTGATATTTTGCAGTCTATTAGCAAATCTATGTTCAATTTTTGCTGTCTTTCGTAGTCTATTTGTAGAACTTTTGTAATTAAAAAAAGGAGATACTATAACCTTTTGTAATATAAAAAGCAGACAATACAAACTTATGTAGTCTTAAAAAGTGGAGACTACAAACTTTGTAGTAGGTTAGTAAACTATATAGTCTGTATCTGACTTCTGTATTCTGAGTGATATTTTGTAGTTTGTTTATATCAATATCCCTTTCAGGCTATGCTTCTTTCTTTTTTGGTTATTTTTCCTATGATAACATATTTGTAGCCCCTTCTTTTACCTTTCTAAATATGTTAAATTCATGTTGTTCAGTTGTTTCCATGGAGAAAAATGCAAAAAGGTCGAAAAAAGCTGGCAGTAAGAAAAATGTTTTGCCTCATATCTCCACAACAGGAGCACTTGGGGACATAATTTGAAGAGATTCTGAAAGCTACAATACAGGGCTGCAGCTTTTGTTTTTTTCCTATTTTGGGAAATTGGTCATGTGACCACCCCCATTGGACCCTGACATATATTATTATCTTGGTTTCTTCCACTTTTTGGTCATCCTCAATGATGTTTACTTTTTTGGATATATTTAGTAGACCCTGAAAGCAGTACCTAATATTATATACCATATTTGGAAATGCACCCTGGACCCTGAGGCAATATATAGCAGGCAGGCAATGAAATATAGGCAGGGGCCAATGAAATGAATAAAACATAGAGCAGGCAGGCAATAAAATATGGGTGTGGGACAATCAAATGGATAAAAATAGAGCTGGATAAATAAGTAAATTTAGCCTGGGAGGCAAAGAAATAGGTGGAAGGAAGCAAAGAAATAGGTGGATGGGAGGAAAGAAATACCTAAAACATTGGCCTAGGGAAGCAAAGAAATGGATGCATGGAAGGAAAGAAATATGTAAAACATCAGCCAAGGGAAATAAAGAAATGGATGGCTGGGGGAAAGAAATATGTAAAACATCGGCCTAGGGAAGCAAAGAAATGGATGGCTGGGGGAAAGAAATATGTAAAACATCAGCCTAGATAAACAAAGAAATGGATGGCTGGGAGGACAGAAATATCTAAAACATCAGCCTAGGGAAGCAAAGAAATGGATGGTTGGGGGGAAAGAAATATCTAAAACATCGGCCTAGGGAAGCAAAGAAATGGATGGCTGGAAGGAAAGAAATATTTAAAACGTTGGCCTAGGGAAACAAAGAAATATACACCTGGGAGGGAAAGAAATAGCTGCATGGGAGGAAAGAAATAGATAAAACATTGTCCTAGGTAGAGAAAGACATATAGAGCTGGCAAGGGAAAGAAATAGAGGGCTGGGGGTGAATGACATGGCAAAGATATCAAGCCAACACACCAATGACATGACCTGGCCATTCAAATGACATGAATTTCATATCATTTGCCACACCATTTCATATCTTAGATTTTACTGGCTTCAATGAAATCTCTGTGCTGGCATTTGCCTTGTGTATTTTATATAAGTGGTAGCTACCACTCAGTTGGGAGAGGTCGTTTCGACGTGGTCAGGGTTGTCGATGGCGTGAAACCATTGTCTGTCATAGCCAGGTGGTTACCTTCGAAAGCAGCGGATGATTGTGCTATTGTAGGTACGGAAGATGTAGAGTCGATGCCTATCGTGGCTAAGTTGTTATCTTCAAGAGCAGTGGACATATGTGCTAATGTGGAAGGGGAAGGAGTAGAGTCGACGTCTGTTGTAGCTGAGTCATTACCCTCAGAAGCAGCGATTATCCGCGCTATCGAGGGCATGAGAATGACTTGGGTGGTCTGATCGTTTATGGCCTCATCTTCACACAGAGTAGTCAAGGATGAGGAGCTGTCAATCACCTGAGAGGTGCTGTCACCCTCGAAAGCTGCAAGATTTTGTGCTAACGAGGATTCCAGGGTGGTTTGGCTGGATAGATCGTTGATTGGCTTGTCTTCACACCATTGAGGGCTTGTCTGTGAGAGAGAGTTCCGGCTTTCGAAATCTGGACATTGGCAGTTCTTTGTGCAACTGCCTTGGGCATAGCTTGTGTTGGTTGGGAGAGATTGATTCTTTGATGTTGTCTGGATTATCAAAGGCCAAGAACCATTGTTTGATGTAGCCGAAGTGTTACCCTCAAAAGCAGCAGGTGATCGCGCTATTGTGGGTATGGAAGACACGGAGCCATTGCTCTCGAAAGCAGCGGGTATTCGTGCTATCGAGGGTGTGGGAGCATCGTGCAAGGCGTGTCAATGGTTTTCTCGCCTTTGTTAGGTTTTGGGTTTGCTTGGGAAACACAGTACTTTACACTCCCACTGCTTGTCCAACGGACTCCGACGGACTTTCATCGGACCCTGCCATTTCCGATGGACTCAGTGGACAGTCCGTCGGAAGACCGTCGGAGTCCGTTGGACATGACTGGATTCCGCTGCAAGTCCAGGCAAAGTCCAGTGAAAGTCCACTCAAACTACTTAGAAGTAAGAAATGGTTGGACTGGCCGGAATTCTGTGTCTGTTGGACGTCCGCTGGACTTCCGTCGGATTTCCAACGGACAGAGGCAGAAACCATCATAATTGCTAAGTTCTCAGTCTGCTGGACTTCCACTGGACTTCCAATGGACTTTCAATGGACTTCTAAGCAAAAAAGGCACAACTTCCAACAGACTTTCAGTGTCCAGTCTGCAATTCTTATAAGTAAATCTAAACAAGTCAGGCCCTGGTCAGACCTTATGCTAAATTCCTTAAGACATTGAGGTTTCAAAAACAAAGTATATTTTATACCTACATAAATTTATTTTACTACATTCTATGTTACAGAGAAGGGGGAGGGGGTGGTGATCAGAAAGGGAGGGGGGAGGGACAAAAAGTGAGGGGGAAGGGACAAAAAGTGAGGGGGAAGGGACAAAAAGTGAGGGGGGAGGGACAGAAAGGGAGGGGGGAGGGAATGGTAAGCAGCAAGGGAGGAGGGAGTAAGGGAGGAGGAGGGAGTGGGGAGCAGCAAGGGAGGAGGAGGGAGCAAGGGAGGAGGAGGGAGCAAGGGAGGAGGGAGCAAGGGAGGGGGGAGGGAGTGGTGAGCAGCAAGGGAGGGGAGTAAGGGTGGGGGGAGGGAGTGGTGAGTAATGGTGAGGGGATGGAATGGTGAGTAATGGAGGGGGGAGGGGATGGTGGTGCTGGGCCCTCATCCTCGTTCGCGCATGGTCATTGGCTCGCATCGTTGACGCGTTATTGCGTCGCGTCGTGTCGGTGTCCTCGCATCGCGTCACGCCGTCCTCGCGTCGTGTCGTGTCGCTGTCCTCGTGTCGCGTTGTGTCACCGTCCTCGCGTCGCGTCGTGTCGCCGTCCTCGTGTCGCGTGTTGTGTCATCGTCGTCGTGTCGTCGTCACGTCGTCGGCGTCGTGTCGTCGTCCGTCCTGTTGCCGTTGCGCGTCGTTGTTGCCTTTCGTTCTCCTTGGGCGTTGTCGTCACCTTGTTGTTGTCTCGTCGGCGGGCGTTGTTGACACGTCATCGTGTCGTCGTTGTCGTCGTGTTGTCGTGTTGTCCGCGTCGCGCGTCGTTCACACGTCATTGTGTCGTCGTCGTCGTGTCATCGTCGTCGTCGTGTCGTCGTGTCGTCGTGTCGTCGTGTCGTCGTCGTGTCGTCGTCGTCGTGTCGTCGTGCCATCCGCGTCGCGTGTTGTGTCGTCGTGGGTCGGTGGGCTGTCGTTGCTGGGGATGGATGTGGTTGAGGACAAGCGACGTGGGATCGTTGATGATGGCCAAATGATGCGTCGGCGTTTGCCGATGACCGTTTTAGGAAAGCGGTCAAACAGTAGGTATGTATAGTACAAAGTACTTGCTTATATCAAAGGCTCCTTGGTGCAGCTGGTTTAGCATTGTGTTCCATATGCTTCAGATCCTAAGGTTGAGTGTTCAATTCCCCAATGTTGCATTTTTTTTATGTTATATATTAATAATAATAACAACAGTCTGTTGGAATTCCGTTGGACTTCTGTTGGATTTGTCCACTGGAATTCCGTTGGCACTTGCTTGTCATTTCCAGTGGACTGGGTGCTAGTTTGCTGTTAGTCCATCGGAAGTCTGTCGGAAAAGTCCAACGGACTTTTCAGTCCGACCAAAAATGCTCGGAAAAGCTTCGGACATTCACCGGAAAATTTGCTGCATTTCAAAGCAGAAAAATATCTGTTCTGCATACCCTCAGTCCGACGGAGTCCGGCCGGAGTCCGCTCGGAAAAGCAGTGGCAGTGTAAAGACCTCGGGAAACGGAAGGTCTGGAAACTGTCATGAGTTGACAGGATCTGTTGATCAGACTTGCCTTATGTAGTTTCTCTGAGCTTCTGCACCCAGGGACTTCATCTTGATGAAGTCCGCGGTGCCCCCACCATTGTGAAACCGAAGGGTCGATCGGGACTTCTCGACGAAGGCGTGAGTGTGAGATGGCAGCGGAGAGACTGGTGGCTACCACTTTTATCATATAAAAGAGGTAACTGCCTATAGGTCCCTGTGTATCCATCCACACTCTTTATGATAGGGAATCATTCCTGTTACCATGTATTTTCATTATCATAAACCTTGCGCTTTTTTCATTAAGTGTAGGTAAGGCCTTTGGCCTCCCTCATAAGCTAGCCTTGGGTTATCATTACTGATTTCATTGACTTGCTTAGGCAATATCATTGGAAATTTCATTAGCTAAATGGGTGATATCATTGCGATTTTCATTAGCTATCTGGTCAATATCATTGCGATTTTCATTAGCTATCTGCCCAATATCATTGAGAATTTCATTTCCTACATGGGTGCTATCATAGTTGTAGTTTTCATTAGATACCAGAAAATATCATTGAAAATATCATTTGCTACTTAGGCAATATCATTGGAATTATCATTAACTACTTGGTCTTATATCATTGCCATTTTCATTAGCTACATGGGCGATATCATTGCATTTTTCATTATATACCAGAAAATATCATTGGAAATATCATTTGCTACTTGGGCAATATCATTGGAATTATCATTAACTACTTGGCCCATATCATTGCAATTTTCATTAGCTACATGGGCGATATCATTGCATTTTTCATTACATACCAGAAAATATCATTGGAATTATCATTTGCTACTTGGGGAATATCATTGGAGTTTTCATTAGCTACTTGGTCCATATCATTGCAATTTTCATTAGCTACATGGGCGATATCATTGCATTTTTCATTATATACCAGAAGAATATCATTGGAATTATCATTTGCTACTTGGGCAATATCATTGCAATTTTCATTAGCTACATGGGCGATATCATTGCATTTTTCATTACATACCAGAAAATATCATTGGAAATATCATTTGCTACTTGGGCGATATCATTGGAATTATCATTAGCTACTTGGTCCATATCATTGCAATTTTCATTAGCTACATGGGCGATATCATTGCATTTTTCATTATATACCAGAAAATATCATTGGAAATATCATTTGCTACTTGGGCAATATCATTGCAATTATCATTAGCTACTTGGCCCATATCATTGCAATTTTCATTAGCTACATGGGTGATATCATTGCATTTTTCATTAGCTACATGGGCGATATCATTGCATTTTTCATTAGCTACACGAGTGATATCATTGCAGTTTTCATTAGCTACTTGGCCAGTATCATTGCTATCATTGCAATTTTCATTAGTTGCCATGCCAAATATCATTGTGATTTTTCATTACTATTCATTGCAAAGCTAGCTAATCATATCTAATCAACTGACAGCACCTCTAATCTAAGTCAAAGATATCATCTACATTGGGTTCACCGACATCTGACTTGTCATCTCCAACATCCACCTCATGCTCAGAGTCAGAGTCCGAACTAGAGGGATCACCATTCAGAGGAGCCCCTGGTTCATCTTTGTACCTTTCAGCCCAAGTTGGAGTGATGCCATACCGCTCCATTACCGGCAACCAGTACGCTGCACATCGAGCAGCCATACGTGAGCAAATAGCAGCTTGCTTGAGAGCATACGCAACGATACCACTATGGACTGATGACTCAAGACCTTGTCTTCGGATACCTTGTTGTAACCACCATGTAGCCTTCCATTCAAAAAATGCAAGCACTCTCCGCATCTCCTCTTGGAGAATCAAAACCTCCTCACCCCAACGAGACATACGTGCCCTTGTTTGTGCCCATTCCGCACGCATACTGTCGTTGAACTCATCTTCAGTTTGATTGTCTCCCTTCTCGTGAGGTGGGCGAGGGACCAGCCAGATCCATGATGGTGTAAATTGGCTGTTAGATGTCTTCCCATCTTCCACGTTGTTGGGATCTTTTCCAGGACCCCGAAGATCTGCAGGCTTCAGCTCCTTCAAGCGCTCCTTCCATGCACCATCAGGGTCCAGAGCTAGCAACACAGTGTACGCAACACGGTACCGATTAGCTGCACGTTGCAGCTTATACTCGATTCGACTATACGTGCCTAACATCCGCGTGTTTGGGTGATTTCCAGTTCCGGAAACGTTGAGTTTCTTGAACTGCCACAAGCCTTGGATGATGCGACGTAGGCAGCGGATGTCAGCAAGGGCATCGTGAGCTTGCGGTTCACGTAAACTGCGCTCGGCATCACATACTTCCTTTAATTCAGGAAGTCGATGCATCTCAGGTGGAAGCGATGATGGGAAAAAAAGAGTTGTCGACTCTGGGTTTGCATAGTGAATGCCAGCGTCATCAACGGTGTGTAGTGAAGGGAGCAGCGTGACAACGTGAGGGGTGTAAGCCAGTTGTACCGGTCTCCAGATTTGGATATGTCGGATAAGGGTGCTCTTCCTCTCCTCGAGATCTGCGAGCTGTTTGCTGGTCTTCTTGCCCTTCAATCGTGACATTTCTGCTTTTAGAATAAACCTGGAGTATATTAGATCACGGACAAGCAAATTTTGTCGAAGTACTCACTGCTGGTCTTCGATATCGAACCCCATCGAGAAATAACCCATCAGAGTGACTTTGTGCTTCGGCTTACGACCAGACACGAGTTCAAGGGTCTCCTTTCGCGTCAATGTGAGCCGCACATCCTGGAGAGTGGTCACTAGAAGTTTATTGAGATTTTGACAAACTTTATCATTAGCGGCAGTACTTACTGGCCTCAGGTTCGTCGTAAGGGTTCGGGGCCTTGGGGTCAGCTTCCCAGCGGATGACCATTTGTTCCCATTTGACGACGGTCTCAGGGGGGAATGTTGACGAAAACTTATTAAATATCTCCTTCTGTTTCTCACTCATGAGAATGGCTTCTTTAAAACGTTTCACAAATAGTGTACCTGGAATTACCGGAAAGATATCAGAAAACAAAGAAACAAATAAGAGAAAGACAAGCTGAACTTACGGAAGCCAACAATCTTGCGGAAATTCCAACCATTCCATTGATCGTTCAATGTATCATGGCGGGCCCCAGGTGCCATCTCTCGCACGCTCTGGGCAAGAGAATTCGTACTGGACCACGTAGTTTCCACCTCCTCACCACGTGTCCTACCAGCGCCCTTTGTATGGCCCAAGCAGAACTCCTTTCGGCACCTTCGTCCATGGCTGTTGATGTGCCAGCTGGGAATAGCAACAGTAACCTTCGTGTCCGACGGAAGCTTCATGTGCTCAGGGAACTCAGACATACGACTTTGGAGGTTCGTCGACCATTGGCAGCCGATGTCATATGTGATGAAAATCCATGGTAACATGACGCCGACAAGCGCGGCGAAGATGATGAAATCAACGTTACAATATCTATCCACGAAGAGATTAGCGGGATCATTTTTTATGCAGGAAATACATACTTCTCGCCCTTCTGCAGGTCACCTGCCCCATTTCTTCGTATAAGTGCGTGCCTGGAGCAGATGACAATAACGGTGCCCGAGACGGCATAACCAGGTGTACAGCGTGTCTGCGCGCGGACGATAGCATCGTGCTCGGACTCACATGTGTTGATCTAAACAAGAACTTTTCAGTCAACGAGAAAGGATAGATATCTTTGAAAGCTTACCTCAGGCTGATCAACATAATCTGCGATAAAGGCTTGATATGCGGACTCTTCGACGAAGGGTCCCCAACCTGGCATCAGCTCAACATCCTTGAGACCACGATCTTTCCCTTTGAGCTTGAAGTTCCCATCGACTGAGATGTATAATATGTATAGAAACCTTATTACCAGTCATTAGAATGTTTGACAACCAAAATGAGATACTGAAACCTACATGAGAGGGCCGGCCTCTTGCCAATTTTGGGGCAGGTTACGGCCAGGGTGCGGGCATGCAGGGCACTCAACAGTCAAACTACCAGGTAAGGTGTTGTCTACGCCAGCCAGATCATGTCCACGGCCAGCACGTTTGAGGGCCATGAGGTTCCGCCATATGCGAAAGACGCGATGTATCTCCTTATATCGATACTGGAGAGATATTAATTTATCTCAGTATAATGATAAACGTAACAAGTAAAGACTTACGAAAGTTTTAGATAAATTAGCATTATCTGTTTTGCGTACCAGAAGATGGTAAAAATCATAAAGATTACCCTTTCCTTGCAGGGTATGTTCGTGGAATGTATCAAGACAATCAAATGTGAAAGCTGTGTTGGGCCGCGAGAAAGTTGCCGGAAACCAGCCTTGTCGTAAAAGTTGAGTTTTTCGATCAGGGACATTGTCTTTTGGACAGTCGCAGTAGTCGATATTTACGACGTGAACGCCGGAGGTGTCGAAAACCATGAAGTTCGGTGGGCCGTGTGGTGAACAAGGACAAATGCCCCCGCCGTGCCCTAGTTGAACACGTAATCCGAGTTCCTTGAGGGACGTTTTGTCAAAGAATCCACCAGTCCATTTCTGAGAGCTGTTTGAGTTTAAGTCCCACAATTTTACATCGCATAAAGTTTACTTACTTCAATTCGGTGCAACGGTGTCTCCGAGTGAGCCTTGACAACGCAAGCCTGACAACGAAGATGGCATCCACTCGAACAGTCCTTGCATTTGAATAAACCTGTCTCCTCGTTACACCCCATGCATAGTTGATTCCCAAGAAAGTCTCCGAGACCGTCGTGACGCAAGATCTCATCAAGCGTGGCATCGCGGAATGAGAGCCACTCAAGGAGTTTGGACTTTAAAATAGAGCTTGTTAGTTCGAGATTTAAACGAAGTTCGGCACCTACATACCTGTGCGTTATTCGTTCTCTTTCATGTTTGCTTTGTTTCAATGGGAGCAGAAGTAGCGTTGCTAAAGTCAGCGTCATAATCAAGAGGAATCGGATTGTCAGTGGAAGTCGTGGCAATGGGGGTTGGGTTGGAGACTGATGGATTATGACTCCGAATTTTGTGCCTGCCTATGAGGCGTCCGTTTGCACCGAGAGTGAGGGTGGTGATGCGTGAGTTTGTCACTGAATTTTCATGCTCTTGAGACCGAGCTGCGCGGAAACCAGGACGAAGCTGCTGTGGCTTTGCGGGAGACTGAGTTGACGAGCTCGACAATGTGGTGTTTTGAGGCTCAGAGTCCCTGTTATGAGCAGCACGGAAGCCAGGGGCGAGTCGACGACGCTTTGTCGCTATCGGAGGATGTGCACTCAGATCGTTCTGATCTTGGCGCTTGGACATACGATTGGTGTGCTGGCAGTCGAGAACCAGGACTTCTAGGCATCTTATGAAAAGCGAAAGGAATGAGTATTGAGATTGGCACGGCGAAGAATGAGAAAAAAAGAATACACACCTTGGACGCACCAGTCTGTTGACTGTGACGCTGTGTGACGAGCTCGATAAGCGCTTATCGCAAGTAGTAGTATCGCGCGCAAATGTCGCGGTTCTCCTCTGACTCTCCTAAGGATACAGTTTACATCTAAATAGAGTACTCTATGGCTGACTTGAGTGCTTATAATTCTGGCAGCCAGATTTAAAATTTCCAGTTCAATTCAGCCCATGGCAGATTCAATCAATTTCCGGAGGTCTTTACGCTGCCACTGCTTTTCCGAGCGGACTCCGTCGGACTGAGGGTATCCAGAACAGGTATTTTTTTGCTTTACCACTGAAGCAATTTTTCCGGGGATTTTCCGATGCTTTTCCGAGCATTTCTGGTCGGACCTCCAAGTCCGTCGGACTTTTCCGTTGGACTTCCGATGGACTCACAGCAAACTAGCAGCCAGTCCACTGGATTCCAGTGGACAGATCCAACGGCAGTCCAACGGAATTCCAGCGGACAAATCCAACGGAAGTCCAACGGAATTCCAGCGGACACAGCCGATGGAAGTCCAACGGACTGGGCTTGTTATTAGTATTATTAATGAAAAAGAAAGTTATTAACAATTAATCAAGTAACTACATAGTAAAATTTGAATGTCGTGGACAAGACTTACATTGCCATAGCTGCATACAGTGCCGATCATTGGGATTCTGTATTTTGTTCAGCCGGCGGGGTGAGCATTTCAAATATCTACCCCAAATGTACGCTCAAAAGTCACGTGGCTCATTCGTTTGATGAATCCGCCACCCCAACACAATTTTTTCCCACCCTTCCTTTTCTCCCCCCACCACCTCCTGCACCCCTCAACCTCTCGACATCGTCTAGCCGCGTCGTTTCAGTAGTGAACGACGTTCGTGGGTCCCACAGGTAAGCCTCCCGCCCCTCTTTATGTCTAATTGGCCACTGACGCCTCCAAAAGCAGGTTGTAACCCTGTGGGGCCCACGGTATGTCTCCCCCCCTCAATTACAGCCCCGATTGACCGATTCAACAGCACTGCAGCCTGCCGCTGGTTCACGTACGGCACCCTCGAACCATTCCACCCCCCTTTCCCATTCGTTTTACCCACAGCGCTGAACCCACGTCATTTCACGCCCAACGCCCACCCACCCAAGCACACCCGCCCATCGCATTTCGCACCCACATGCTTTTCTATTCCCATTCCCATACGTTTTACTGACAGCGCCCATTCCCTGTCGTTTCGCGCCCACCCAGCGCCCCAAACACTTTTCCTTCCCCTTTCCCATCCGTTTTGCTCATAGCGCCCACCCCCCGTTGTTTTGCGGCCAACACCCACTCAGTCGAGCACCCAGCTCATGGCATTTCGCACCCCATCGCTTTCTGTCCCCGTTCCCATTCGTTTCGCTCACAGCGCCCACTCCCCGTTGTTTTGCACCCACCCAGCCCCCCAAACGCTTTTCCTTCCCCTTTCCCATCCGTTTTACTAATAGCACCCCCCCCCCCGTTGTTTTGCGGCCAACGCCCACCCACTCGAGCACCCCGCTCATGGCGTTTCGCACCCCATCGCTTTTCTGTCCCCGTTCCCATTTGTTTTGCTCACAGCGCCCACTCCCCGTTGTTTTGCACCCACCCAGCCCCCAAAACCCTTTTCTTCCCCTTTCCCATCCGTTTTACTAATAGCACCCCCCCCCCCGTTGTTTTGCGGCCAACGCCCACCCACTTGCACCCCGCTCATGGTGTTTCGCACCCCATCGCTTTTCTGTCCCCCTTCCCATTTGTTTTGCTCACAGCGCCCACTCCCCGTCGTTTTGCGCACAGCCCCCAAAACACTTTTCCTTCCCATTTCCCATCCCATTTTGCTCACGGCGCCCACTCCCCATCGTTTTGCGCCCAACGCCCACCCCACTTCAACACCCCCCCATGTCATTTTGCACCCACACGCTCTTCTGTCCCTGTTCCCACCCATTTTGGNGATAGCGCGCATTTCACGCCCAACGCCCTTCACGCCCAACATCATTTCGCGAACACACCTGCTTCCACTTCCCTCCTGTATCGTTTTGTGCCCCACCTTACGTACACACGCCCTTTTAGTAGGAGAGTTACATACATCTGGTAGATAGTTTCTTTCGTATGTGTACATAGCTTGTATTTTCGCAAGTAAAAATTTCTTTGCAACTTGGACTTATGATTTTTTTGTGAACTTTGAAGTGGTGAGAAATGCTTATGTAATGACAAGTGGACTTAACAAGTTGCTTGTTTCTTATCTCTTCCTTCATCCACCACCATCTAAGAACATCTGAGTTAACTCCTTGCTTACTATGCCTCCCAGGACTTCCAAGAACTCTGCTAATGTTCCCACCTCGCCTCCTAAGTCCCCTCCTAAGTCTCGTAGGAGTGCCAGAAAGCGTGCTGCATCATCTGTTGATGCCTCTGTGGAACCAGCTGCCAAGAAGGTTGCCATGGACAGTGAAGTGGGTGAGACTGGAGGTGAGGGTGAAGATAATGAAGGTGGAGCTACAGGAAAGAAAGGGAACAAGGGAAACAAGTAAGAAAAATTCAATATCTATGAATTTATTGCTGAAGTGGACCTCTCCATAGCAAAGCTGCTGGAAAGAAGGGAAAGAAGGGAATTGCGTACATTTTTTTTTCTATCCTAGCTTGGTTATTTGCTTACCAATTTTTGTAGGAAATCTAGTGCCAAACCTGTAAAGGCTGCAGTTGAAAAGGCATCACCCCCTCACCCTCTACCTCACTGCCCACCACCCTCCCCCTCTACCTCACTGCTAACCACCACCCCTCTCCTTCACTGCCTACCACCCCTCCCCCCTTCCCTGATTGCCCACCACCCCTCTCCCCTCCCTCATTGCCCACCACCCCTCTCCCCTCCCTCATTGCCCACCACCCCCACCCCTTTTCCTCACTGCCTACCACCTCCCTCCCTCACTCCCCCTTCCCTCTATGTAATATTTGATGTAGTAATGTAACTTTATGTAGTTATATTGAATAAACTGTGTCTTTCTCTTACATAAATCTACTAAGTATATGTACACTGTTACTTGGATATATCTGTGGTTTTTACTGTGGATATATGTATCTTTGCAAATATATAAATCAAGAGGATGTGTAAAGTGTATATGTACTGTTACTTGGATATATAACTTCAGATATATCTTCCAAGTATATACTGTGGTTTGGATATATTCTGTGATTATATGCAAGGATGATAATTGAGTGGTGCTTACCATACAAATCATAAAACCATGGCCTTGTGCATAGCTCCACATACTTTTATGAAAAGTATATCATATATATCCCAGGCCCTTTTATGATAAGGATTTTTTTCATAAGAGGCCTTGTGCATTTCAATAACTTTTCATTGCAGGTCACAACTTATCATTAACTGCTTTTCATTGCAGTCCAGCCATTTTCATTGACCACTTTTCATTGCTGGCCAGCCCTTTTCATTATCCACTTTTCATTGCTGCTGGCATTTTCATTGGGTGCTTTTCACAGTACTTTATAGTGCCCCACCCATTCATGCAGGAATCCACTGGAGTCTGCAGGAATGGGACAGGAATCCACAGGAATGGAACTGGAATCTCACTGGTCCTTACCATATTTTATCATAAAACCATGGCCTAGGCCAGGAAGGCCTTGTGCATAGCTCCACATACTTTTATGAAAAGTAATCATATATATCCCAGGCCCTTTTATGATAAGGATTTTTTTCATAAGAGGCCTTGTGCATTTCAATAACTTTTCATTGCAGGTCACAACTTATCATTAACTGCTTTTCATTATCCACTTTTCATTGCTGCTGGCATTTTCATTGGGTGCTTTTCATTGCAGGCCAGGATATTTCATTGGTAGCTTTTCATTGCTCTCTAGGATTTTCATTGGCTACTTTTCATTGCAGGCCAGCCTTTCTCATTGACCACTTTTCATTGCTGCTGGTATTTTCATTGATAGCTTTTCATTGCAGGCCAGGATATTTCATTGGATACTTTTCATTGCAGGCCAGCTCTTTTCATTGACTGCTTTTCATTGCTGCTGGTATTTTCATTGGTAGCTTTTCATTGCAGGCCAGGATATTTCATTGGATACTTTTCATTGCAGGGCCAGCCCTTTTCATTGGCTGCTGTCAGGTGGGTCATCAGGAGAATGGTCACATGACCAGTTGCCTAAAATGGTTGAAAACAAAAATTGTAGTCCTGCACTGTAGCTTCCTGAATCTGTTTAAATTATGTTGTAAAGTGCTTTCATTGTAGAGATATGGGGTAAAACATTTTTCTCATCACCAGCTTTTTTTTTTTTTTTTTTTTTGGCATTTTTCTCCATGAAAACAAAACCAAACAAGATGATTTCAACACATATAGAAATCCAAGAGAAGAGGCTACAATTATCATATCATGGGAAAATTGTGCCAAAAAGGAAGGTCCATACCTCAAAAGGGAAATTGACATGGATAGCCTGCAAAAGGCTACAAAAAGCCTGACATAGACTATAAGGACCACTGATAGACTACAAAAGACTACATAAGTTGGACATACCTTACAAAGTTTAAAGTTTACTAATAGACTATACAAATTACTAAAAGACTACAAAAGACTACAAAATGTCAGAAATAGACTACAAATTTTACTAACATAAGTTTCTATTGTCTGCTATTTGAGACTACAAAAGTTGTAGTGTCCCCTTTTTTTGGACTACAAAAGTTTGTAGTGTCTGCTATTTGAGACTACAAAAGTTTGTATTGTCTGCTTTTCAAGACTACAAAAGTTGTAGTGTCTGCTTTTTTGAGACTACAACAATTTGTAGTGTCCACTTTTTGAACCTACAAAAGTTTGGAGTGTCTGCCTTTTTGACACTACAAAAGTTTGGAGTGTCTGCTTTCTGAAATTACAAAAGTTTGTAGTCTGACCATGGTTTTATGATTTGGATGGTAAGCACCACTCGGAATCTGGTGAATTTACACTAATATACACTTCTTATTTAGTTATCCTCATCATCCTGAACTTCTTCATCCAAANCCAAGTTATCCTCCTCACCTTCTTCTGGTTTCTTCATCTGCTTCCTTTTTGCTAGATACCTTTACACTAATATGCACTTCTTCACACTGACTTTAAGGGTATGAACACTTTCTT